TTTTCTTCTCAAATGTATTAGCATTTTATTTTTTTCATTTCTGTCTTTAGATCCCAATTGTGAAGTTCTTCCCTACAAATTAATATGCATACATGTCTATATTTTCTCTCAGAATCATTACACTTACCTTTTCCATTAACATGCTAGTGAAAGTTAACATGAAAGTGTAAGTATTTTGATATAGATAGTGAGGAACAAATATTTTTTTCAGAGGAATCTTACTGTTCCACTATGTATTTTTAAAAATCCATTCTTCCCAATCATTTGAATGGTGACCTTTGCCACATTTAAAATTTGGAAGCAATGTTCAATCTCTGAGTTTTCTTTCCTCTTGAAATATTTTGCTTAATTTCTGTATTGTTATAATGTTTTAAAATGTATAAAATTTATAATGTATAAAATTATTTTAATTTTATAAGCTTTAATAATACTAAGACAAGGCATCCTATAATATTTCTTTGCATTTCTGCTATGTTCATTTTTCCAGAGAAGCTTGAAGATATTTTTGTCAAATTTATCCAAAATCCCCATTGAAATGTAAGTCAAGATTCTGTTTTTCAAAAATGTATTGTTAACTTGGATAGATTAAAAGCCTTTCTCATTTAATTATTCTCACATATGTCCATAATCTAACTTCTACCTATACTTATTAATGTACTTTGAATATAACTTAACGCATCTTTATATTTTTAAAAAATGCTCATATGATCCCTGAATATCCCTTGATCAGTTTATTCTTAGTGATTTACACTTTTGTTTCCAGTGTGTCTAGGGTGTTATATTTTGGAGTGGTTATAATGTAATAAAGGAAACATTTTAATTTTTTGCCTTGAAAATGAACCATTTCGCTATTATTATTTGTTAGCTCAAATGTTTTTTAAGCTGAATCTATTGGATTTTCCTACTCAGCATTCAATTGTTTCCAAATGGCAAAGATGGTTTTTCTTTTAATCTCCAGTAATTATACCATATAAATTTTTTCTGCCTACTCTGCCTAAAATTTCCAGGAAAACATGTTGAATACCATGAATAACATAGGTGGTAGATGGCTTCCTTTGTTTTGTTATTTTAGTCTTCCATTGTCTCCTTTTAAAAACCTGAGACTTTTGCAGAAAATGATGAGAATTATGCAGAAACACTTTATGATTGAATCAGGTTCCTGGTTATAGACACAATGTGTTAAAATCTGCAAATTTTGACTGTGGTAGAGCTCTTTCCTCTTGCACTAAATATCTCCAAGTTTGTAACGCTGCTAAATGTGTAGATTTTATCTCCGCTCTTCGTCTTTTAGAGCATGTTATGCTCTCATCCATCTACTATCATCTGTCATAGTCCTACTGAGATTTCATCATGCTGTTTCTAAACTTTTTCAAATACCCCTCCGGGTAAAGATGGCTCCCCTTTCATGTAGGATCAAGTGCATGAACAATTGAAAGGCATCTAATGTTTTTATGAATTTTAAAAATAAACTGCATCTGCTACTGTGCTCTGGGTGGCTGCATTTCTCAGGTGTAACCATCAGGCAAAATGGGGGATCCATGTAGATCCTGGTTGAGAAACATTGCGTTGAAGGCAGGTCTAGTGCCAAGATTCATCCTCTATTATAACAACCTGACCCTGCATATGCTCTGTCTACTATTCATTCTGCCTGTTGAGTTTTCTGTTAATATCTTTAATAGATTACCAAAATGAACTTTCATTTATGGTTTACCAATTAGAGAGTGTGAGAAAGAGAAACTTATAAAGAATGAACAAGTCAGTGAAGGAATGGATGAATCAATGAACAAATGAAGAAAGAAAGAGGAGGGAGAGGAAGGAAGGTAAAGAAAACAAGAAATAAGAAAGGAAGGAAGAAAACAGAGAGGGAAAATAATATTTCCATTTGACGCAGAAAATAAGGTCAGTGAGACACTACTGAATCACCCTGATGACATTATCCTGAATAATTCTGAATTCATAAAATTAAGTCACGGAAATCATGCAAGGTGCTACATATCTCTGCAAACACACACACACACACACACACACACACACAGAACAACCATTGGAATTTAAAACTGTATTCTTAGGGAAGGAGTTCTCTGGCTCCACTGCCAACTTAATTTATCAAAAATATTCATATCAGCATCTCTGCTAACCTTCTCTCAGTGGAAGATTTTTTTTTAAGGCTTACAAAAGGGATCAATGCTAAATATGACGACTATTGCAACTTTGTACTTTTCTTTGAGATCTAACAAAATGGGTCTCTAAACAATGAATGTACAGTAGAAACAATGCCAACAGATTTAAACAGCCATCTGGAGTAATTATTCATGCTCCCAAAAATAGGCTGTTTGAGAACGTGCAAAGTTCCTTCCCGATAGAATTCAGTGGTCTCTCCAACAGCATATGAGCTGGCTGGCAAGTGAGAGTGAAGATACTTCGGGGGGGGGGGGTGTGTGTGTGTGCAAGTTTAGCTGTTTAATTTCTATTGTCCTGTAAGAAAGTGCTCTCAACACTTAGATCTCAAAGTCATGGTGTGTGTTCCTATCTACCATGAAGCAAGTTTCTCTACTGGGTTCCCCTTTCCCTTGCTGTCACTTCTGCTGGTATGGGTGCCTATTTCCTCCAGTTATAGGAGCAGACAGATCCCTCACCCACCTCGGACTTCATCATCTACCTCTTCAAGCCTCCACGCCAGCAACTTACACTGAGACTGTACTCACAATGCCTTTCTCTTTTTAATGACAATATCCCTTCTTTTATAACTGAGGCAATTTAAACATTACAGCACGATTTGGCCCCAGTTTCTTAGTTAAACAATGGTTGAGCTCTAAAAAGAGTTCAGGTCTCCTGGCAGTTGTCTGTTTATTTCTAAAGTCGCTTCTTCAGTGATTTTCATCTGCAGCTCTGTAGCTGACAGCATCAAAATCACAGTCCTTAAACCAGAGAGGTGGGGTCCTCGGTGAACTGGTTTCAATCTGGCTTCCTAAGGTCCTATTAATTCACTCTTATCTGTTCACCTTTGCCATCTACTCTTTCCTATTTTAATTACTTTAATTGAAGAGACTGAACTCTGTAATAGAAATATAGGCAGCTTCATTTTCTCAGTCAAGGCTAATCATCTCCTTTCCAGCACAGGCTTCACTTGAACTTCTTACAGCCTGGAATATGGATAGAGGCCTGACCTACTCTTTTACTATCAGCTCCCCTTTCTCTATGCTTGCTCCAGTTTTGAAAAGGAGAAAGAAGTCAGTCACATGGTGATGCTCAAGTTCAATCACATGGTGGATGTGACGAGATGTCTGCCTCCTTTACGGTGATGTCTAGCATCTTCAGCTTAGTGCCTATTGGTTCACTGTAGAAGGGTGCGAGTCCTGTTGGTAAGAGATTTAAACACAGTCTTTTCTTTAGGTATTGATGGTGCTAAAGAAAACACTTTTTCACAAAACACTCCTTAAAGAATGGTAAATCAGCGTTTATCCAACAGAGGACATCACAATAGCTAGAGGGACCACTGATGTGGGGTTTCACAGTGAGGGAGTGGTTGTGTTCAATGCCAAACACAATAGGGAAAAGTGAATATTTGTAACCAAGGAATAGGGAGGGTAGGAGTTAGCGGATGGGATTCTGATTAAAATGACCTAACAAGATTCTTCTTTTAAATTTTGTTAATGTTTATTCATTTTTGAGAGACAGAGACAGAGCATGAGCAGGGGAGGGACAGAGACAGAGGGAGACACAGAATCTGAAGCAAGTTCCAGGCTCTGAGCCCAAAGCGGGGCTCAAACACATGAACCATGAGATTATGATCTGAGCCGAAGTCAGGCGCTTAACTGAGCCACCCAGCCACCCCTAACAGGATTCCTCTTGAAGACAGGCCAAGATGATCAGACAAAACTTGGACCCAGAGGATGATCAAGGCTGAGGAATCCAATTCCATATCAAGGGTGATCAAACACAAGGGTATGGGGAATTCTATCTCATCTGACTTAGTACGGTTCTTGCTAACATTGGATGATACAGAGATGAAGACGGAAGCCCAAAACTTGAGGCCCACTTGAACAAGCTTAGGAGAGCCAAAGAAAAATTTGGCCAATGAGAGTATTTTTTGCCAGGGGTGCTCTGTGAGATTGGACTTCATGCTTCTCCCTTACTTGCAGTGGTCTCAAAGCACACCTGTAGCCCCAGGTTTACCCATTCACCTGAACAAGCATACCTGAGGTGCCTGGGAATTAGCAAAGCACACTTTCTCCTCATCTCAGAAAGCACAAAGGATCAGGCCTCTGCCTTCTCATTTTCTCCATCTCCTGTAGTTACAGAGCAGGTGAACAAATCCCATGGCTCTTCAATCTCAACTTAGTAATTTTTTTCCTCCTTTATATTTATACTTTTCTCAAAAAAATAAAACAAACAAACAAACAAACAAAAATTCCAGAAAGGACCATAGCTCTGCTAACACCTCAATTTCAGCCTGGTCAGACCTACTATGTCAGACTTCTGACCTGCCAAATTATAAGATCATAAATCCATGTTGGTTTGAGTTGCTAATGTGTGTGATAATTTGCTGTCACTGCAATAGAAAACTAATACATTCTTTTACTGTGACCTCTTCCATATAGAGGGATATTGTAGTCCCATTGTTTTTACTAAAATGGGACTGATTGGGTAGTTGTATGTGACTTAGATTCACAGCAAGGCACTTCTCTCACCCTACAACATGGATTTATTGGTGCCTTTGTTCTGAGAAGTGATTTCAAGTTTCCATTTCCAGGAAAGTTCTATTCTTTTTGTTGTTGCTTCTAAATATTTATTTGTTTATCTATCTATTTATTTATTTATTTATTTATTTATTTCCAAATTAGTTAGCATAGTGTGCAGTAATGATTTCAGGAGTAGATTCCAGTGATTCATTCCCTATGTATAACACCCAGTGCTCATCCCAACAACTGCCCTTACCCATTTAACCCTTTTCCTTGACCGCACCCCTCCAGCAACCCTCAGTTTGTTCTCTGTATTTGAGTCTCTTATGTTTTGCATCCTCCTTGTTTTTATATAATTTTTGTTTCCCTTCTCTTATATTCATCAGTTTTGTATGTTACATTCCTCATATGAGTGAAGTCATATGATATTTGTCATTCTCTGACTGATTAATTTCGCTTAGCGTAATGCTCTCTAGTTCCATCCACGTAGTTGTAAATGGCAAGATTTCATTCTTTTTGATTGCCATATATATATATATATATATATCACATCTTTATCCATTCATCCATCGATGGACATTTGGGCTCTTTCCATACCTTGGCTGTTGTCAATAGTGCTGCTATAAACATTAGGTTGCATGTGCCCCTTTGAAATAGCACACCTGTATCCCTTGGATAAATACCTAATGATGCAATTGTTGGGTTGTAAGGTAGTTCTAGTTTTAAATTTTTAAGGAAACTCCACACTGTTTTTACAAAGTGTCTGTACCAATTTTCATTTCTACTAGCAGTGATGTGGAGAAAGTTGTATTCTTTTTGCACAAAGTGTCTTCATTATTATATTCTCATTACCCTCTTATGATGGCTAATTGTGTGTGTCAGCTTGACTGGGTCATGCAATGCCTGGTTCAACTTTATTTCTGTATGTATCTGTGAGGGTATTTCTCAAGGAGATTAGCATTTGAACTGGTATACTGAGAAAAGCAGACGGCTTTCTCCAGTGTGAATGGGCCTCTACTAATCCATTGAGAATGTGAATAGAACTAAAAGGCATAAAAAGGTTGAATTAATCCTGCCTCACTGTTGAGCTGGGTCATTGATCATCAGACGTTGGCACTTCCGGTTCTAAGGCCTTCAGACCTGAACTGGAATCTATACCACCGGTTTTCCTGTCCTTCCAGTTTGCAGACAGTAGACTGTGGGACATCTCAGACTTCACATCATGTAAGCCTGTCCCTTATAATAAAACTCTTGGTTCCATTTTCTTTTCTCTGAAGAACTCTGACAAATATACCATCCTTAATCAACAGAGCATTCTTAAAACCTTACATGACCTGTCTCATACAGACTATATTATCTAGATATATGTGTTTATGAAAAAGATTTAAGTCTAAAATACCTGAAAGTGTCCCATTGTGTTAAATAGATGTCTCCATGTTTCATCACAGATATGCATAGTTAATTGTTGAATGAATGAATGAATGAATGAACAGTGTTAAGCAAGTCCCCTCTTTATTATCCCACTCCTCCTCTTCTTAGTATATACTTTCTGCTTCTTCTCCACCCGTTCCCTCATGGACCTTAATTTTGGTGTCTTACATATGTTATTTCCAATAGCTCCTCTTTCCTCTCCTTCTCTCATTGACTAGCTCAACTTACAACTCTAGATTTTACATATTTATTTATATTTCTAAGTTTATATAGAGACAGAAAGTCATACTCCTAAAACTCCAGTCAATCTCCTCTCTAAACAATGCCTTTGTTGAAAGAAAGAAAGAAGTGCAGAGAAGGGCAAGAAGAAAAAAAGAAAAGAAAAGAAAGCAAAGGGAAAACAATGGAAGGAATGATTCGGGCCTCCTGCCTTTAATTTTCACATGTGTCTAATGAATACATAAAATGTACAATGCTTTTCTGGAAATCAAGGATTTTGGGGTTTATAAAGTGTTTAGTTAAGGCACTACTAATAATTTTCTCTCCCTTTGAGTGTGTGTGTATTTGTGTGTGTGTGTGTGTGTGTGTGTGTGTTGCTCTACAGAAAGGCAAGATACATATCCTTAATTGCTCTGGTGACAAAAATAGTCACTGGTAGTGGTCTACTGGTAAACAGGCATTTCGGGGAAAACAAAACAAAAACAACCCCCCCTCCCCCGCGATTTGTAGTGTTTCTTGGCTTCTGTGGCTTCCTCTTTGGCTACTTTCAAGCTACTAATATTTGATAACTCACTCTTAAAATTCCTGAATGGTTAGCAATGAACTCTCATGACCTACAACAAGCAGGCTACAATAAACCGCTGGAACTTTGGGGAGATGTTTTACACACACTATACATGTATATTACACAAGAAACATATTTAATACATATATTAAATATTAAATATATATGTTATATATTATTTATTTCACTACATTTATTAAACAAAACAGCTCATCCAATAGGGATACTTCATAAGGGCAGAAATTGCTGTTCCTTATACAAAAAAGGGTGGTGAGAATTTTTTCCAAGCTATAAATTAAAACTGATTTTATTTATTTGGTATAAGACAGAAGAACAATTGTAAACATAAAGCTGCTGAGAATCAATAATTTGGTCTTTTAAACTAGATACAAAATTAGGTTATGAAATCTGGATGGTAATGGAGAAATCAAATCAATGCTTTTATTTTAGAGAAAAGGGATGTTGGGTACCAGATAGATGAATGCTTTTGCTTGTAGTTAAATGGCAAGTTTACACCATAGTCAAGACTATAATTTCTGGATATGTTGGTGGTTCTTTGTTTACTGTATCAGTAGCTCTAGTGAATAGAATTAACCAAGCAATGTTAGAAAAATAACATTTTCCTTAATACCATTGAATATTTTTATTCTTCCGATAAGTTTTCATGATCCATCTTCAAACCATATGCATTCATTTACTTGCGGTGCATCTAGTCAACACATATATTTTGTGCCTGTGGTGTTCCAGACTATACTTCAGGGCACAGAGCATATACTGGGGACAAAAGGCGAGTCCTTTTCATCAATAGATCTTCTATCTTAGTTTGAAGGGGAAAAAAGGACAGAAAACTAGAAAACAAAGTGCTATGTTATAAATCTTCAGGAGAGCAAGAGGGGAAATGGAGAGATCAGTAAGAAGACTGTGATAGCCCAGGGATGAAATAATGTAACCCTAGAAATGGTAAGAAATGGTTGAATATGGTCTACATTAAGACGGTGTAGTTCACGGGGTACGGTGAGGTATCTCATCAAGATTTTGAAGGGAAGAAGGAATTTGAAGATGTCACTAGATCTTTGACCCAGGCAGTTGATTGGATGTGATGTCATTTACTGAGCTAGAAAAGATGCTGTGTGAAGGGTTTTAACAGCTTTCTCTCCTTTAGATGTATTAATTGTGAGGAATTTCTTGGGTGTGGAGCTCAGGTGAAAGAGGATAGGTTAAGATTTAGTTTGTGAATGTTCAGTGTACAGTTGCTTTGGAAAGCCATGAAACTCAGTGAGGTCATCCAGGCAGTGAGGCAGGCATGAAAACTGTCTCAATACATGAGCTCCACACTACTACAAAAATGCTCAGTGGAGTACCTTGAAATTAACTCAATCACACTGAAAGACAAAGAAAACTGACACACACACACACACACACACACACGGGGGGTCAGTGTAGAGAGAAAGAAATAACAGTATTATACATTTATTAAGTAATTTAGGGACATCACTTTATTTAATTTTCAGCAGAGCACATTTTCTATAAAAGCGAGGAAACCCAACAAAGATGACTGAGAGTGTTCAGCTGGTAAAATATGAGGAAAATCAGGAGAAATTAAACAAAATATATTAGATAAGGGAAGGTTTGGATCTCCCAACACTGCAAACAAGTCAACTACGTGAGAACTTGAATGGCCCACCGGGTTAGCCACGTTAAAGTCACCAGCAACCTTGGTGAAGGCAGTCCCCATGGTAAGGTGGAGGGAAAGAGCAGATGGGAGTGAGTTCAGGAAAGAAGGGCTAGCATGGATATAAGGCCAGGTTTCTTAGCATCTGCCCTGAGCTAGAGAAGGAGGGAGGTAGCTATAATGTTGAGATGGGGGGAGCTCTTATCGAATGTTTTGCACCGTACAACAGGGGATATTAGAGGTGATTCAGCAAAGAAATCTTAATGCTGCATGAGGGAAAGGGATAATCATGGAAGTGAAATACCTGAGTAAGTAATTGTTTATAGGATTTGCTGCCCAAATCCAGGATTTGTCCTTCCCAGGAGGGAGGATGTTAATCCATTGCAGTAGGAAAGGGGGTTAGCCTAGGTACAAAAGGGTATATAAGGGTGTAGATACAGATAGATGGGTGGATTAGGGCGTGTGCAGAAATATAGGGCTCTCTTCTGGCTTATTAGGGAGAGACGATGCTTTCCCAGGTCACCTTGGAAGAATGCATGAGAGTGTAAAGAATTTGGGAGAAGCTGAACCTGAGGAGGAAATCTACATAGCCTTAGAAGAAAGGCTGCATGAAGAGAGAATCTTAGGAGTCCAGGAGGTAAACAAAGAGAGTTTGATGGGGCACCTTTGAACACTCTGCTGGAGAAGGGAGATCATCAGTCATAATCCCAGCTTCCTTGGGTGTAAGGTGTCTCAGCTGAAGACTCCAGTTTGGTGAGAGATGGGGGTGGGGCACACTCTTGATAAGAGTCAGAGGAGGCTTCTGTATCCACCACTCAATCAGCTGGGGAAGCAGAAAAGGCTGTCCCTTAAATACAGCTCTGGGAAGTAATAAAACTAACCAGGAAAGATGGTCTAACCTAAAGCCACTCGAGCTCTAGTGATTCTTCTAAAATGAAAACTAAGTGAGGCTTCTAACCTATGAAGAAGACTCACTGATAACCTAACAAAGGGATGTCCCTTTCCTCTACCTCATTCATTTGTGCTGGCCTTTCCTCCTCTTCCTTCCTCCAGAGAAGGCACCCTCCTCACTCACCCCTGGCATAATCCTCTTAACCTCAGCATCTATCTCCCCTGGTCATGCCTTATAATTAGCATATTCTCTGCCTTTTGTCGGCCCCTCTGGCCCTCAAAGTATATATATTCCATTCCAAGAAAGCAATGACTTTGATCGCCATTCAGTCCGAGGCACACTTTAGGGAGTTCTGGGCGCATAGAAGGTTCTCAAAAATATATGAAGGGATTCGTGAATTTGCAAACCTGGATCTAAGTAACATCCTTACCTGAGCCACCTGCTTTTGAAAACGTGGTCGGCTTGTGGAGTTTGGTTTGATCCAGTGTGCAGTCATCTGAGGGAAAGGGTTTCCTTTTGGAAGCAATTGTATAAGCCATCAGCTCCCTTGAGGGTGCTTTTATCAACTCTGAAAGCAAGTTTTGCCCTTCATCAGCTGTTTGTGGGAGGGCTGAGCCGACCTCTTCTGTGTTCAGATTGGAACCCTTCCCGCATCCTCCTGAGAGATGGGCCTTCCGGTAAGATCTCTGGGCTGCTGCAGACTGCCAGGGACTGTGAGTCCCCTGTCCCTGCAGCAGGGAAGGTTACATTCAGTCACTTGCGATTCCAATATGCATCCAAGCCGCCTCTTTCACTCCCTCGCTTTTTTTTTTTTTCTTCCCTTGACCTGAATTAATCCTCTCATTATCTGCCTCCCACGTGGATCAAATCCCGCTCCAACTTTTGTCCGCATCCTGGCCCTGCGTTTGTCAGTCTCCCTGGGGACTTTGCAAAAGCCAGTGTTGAAAGTCCACTTTTTCAGACCCAGGCCCAACCGACAGCCACAGAACAAAGAACAGTGAGCTGCTTTCCTAGGAAACAGCACCTCCGGGTGTCCCCCTTCTAAGAATGTCATCTCCTGTCTGCAGACTTCTAAGGATTAAATAAGGGAAAGAGACAGCAAGAACTAATTTGTGTGGAAAGCTGCTTTGTGCCGGGAGTGAGGAGGGGTCCATTTTCGTGGTTTATCTCAAATAATGGTTGCATGCAGCCTAAAAATTAACAGTCATCTCTGTAAAATGTAACATTTTACTTTTTTAAAAATGTTTATTGATTTTTTAGAGAGAGAGAGAACGTGTGAGCGGGGGAATGGGAGAGAGAGAGGGATAGAGGATACGAAGTGGGCTCTGCGGAGAGCCGGATGGGGAGCTCGAACTCATGAGCCATGAGATGACGACCTGAGCTGAAGTCAAATGCTTAACAGACTGAGCCACATAGGTGTCCCTAAAATGTCACATTTTAAACAGGAAATAAGAGTATGGCTCTCCTTTGTTCAAATGCTTAGGTGACCTCCCATGATGCAGAGACTAAAACCCCAAGCCTGGTCCATGGCCACTGGGGCCCCCATACCTGCGTGACCTTAGCACTCCCCCTCCACCACCATAGCCCCTTGCTTTCTAGCAATGGGATCTTGTGCATTTTTGCATACGTTGTAGTATCTACCATTTACCCTTTGTTCTGAATTCCCTGTTCTCCTCCCTCCATCCATATAATCACATGTGTCACAATCCCTGCCTACTCAAAGCTTTCCCAACTGTCATCTTTCCATTAAGACCTTAGCTGGCCACTCTAACAAGGTCACCTCCAAGTCTGGAAATAAAAGAAATGCGCTACCCATGGCTTATTGACATCGACTTCAATGTCAATGTCAATTATTTTACCTGGTAAAATAATCATATTTGGATTATTGGTGTTTATGGCCACCCTATTTTTAAGTTATGTCTCCTCATTCATTGCCTGCCTTACTTGATTGTTTTAGATATTTTTTCATTTTCAGTGTGTATTTTATTACTTATGTGTCCCATGAGAATGTGTGTTCCCTGAGGTTAGGACCTAGTTGCTTACTGCTGGCTCTCTGGCATCTGGGAAGATGCTGGGGCAGAACTGTCACCAGGTAAATATGGTTGAAGGAATGAAGTGAGCAGGTGGAAGCACAGAAAATGTAAATGACTTGTTCAAGTTACCAAGCTACTGGACAAGGTTAGACGAGATTTGAAGCACATCTTGATTCCGAAGCCTATACAAAATGAACTTTTCTTTTTTTTTTTTGGTCATGTGGTCATTTAAATTGTAAAGGCAACAGGGGACGGAAAGCAGTAGTCAGCCCTGAACCTATGATCATACAATTTGGCAAGAAAAAGAAGGCAGCCCTGACAGAAGATTTGGCGTCCCTCTGTCAGGCAGGGGTTTCATCTGGGGAGTCCCAGGGAACTGTGTGTGTGTGGCCTCCGCTTCCATGCCCACTTGAATTTGGGCAATTTTGTTTAGCTTCAGTTTCCTCAGCCACATGATGAAATTGGGAGTAATCAGTAAAATGATCATAATGTACTCTGAGATTCAGGCAGCCTGGCGTTGAATACGTATATTCTGATACCAACTCTGATCTTGGCCAAGTTGTTTAAATTTGCTAACCTGGTGCTTCCTTGTTAAACCCAGTGTAAATTGGAGAGAAAAGTAGTATCTTCATTGTAAGGTAACTATAAGTTTACCCACATTATTCCTTAGTGCAGTGTTTAGCATACGCCAAAGATTGCTTACTATTACTAATTTTGTTCCTTTCTTTCTCTCTTTCTCCTTCTTGTTATTATTCATATTACTGTTGTAATTAATAGCAGTAAAAATTGTTTGTGAGGTAGAGGCAAAATTATGGCCCTTTCTGACCATAATGTCAATGTTTCTTGAAGACAGAAACAGCATTGTATGGATATTCTGTGTCTAACTTTATTATGAGAATTTAGGGTTATAAATATAAAATATCCTGACAAATATTTGTGTCTTGATTGAGGGGAAACAATTAAATAATAAAATCAACGTAGCTTTTTTGAAAGTGCATTTATTTATTTTGAAAGAGAAAGCACAGGAGTGGGAGAGGGACAGCGAGAGGCAGAGAATCCGAAGCAGACTCCACATCAGCAGCACAAAGCCGGACACAAGGCTCTAACTCACCAACCGTGAGATCACGACCTGAGCCAAGACCATGAGTTGGATGCTTAATTGACTGAGTCACTCAGGTGCCCCTTAATGTAGCTTTTTAACACGGCTAAATACTAGTTGTTGACCATGAATAGACCGGGAAATTTTAGATGAGAACTCTGGCCATTTTCAATGCTCAAAAACAAGAAATGACACTGACTTTTAAGTTTTGGACTCACCTCTTCCCTTATTCTTTTACTGATCTTCATCTGTATGGTAAGCAAATGGGTGGTGATTATTTTGTTTGGTCCCCATGGAAGTCTTTCTGTGCATTACTTATGGCTCCTACCATGGTCTCCCTTATTTCATAAAGCTCTGTGTACTTGTTTTATGTATCTGCTATATTTTATAGTCAAGACATATTTATATTCAATAAAACATTTACTGGGCATTTCTTAAGTGCCCAGCATGGGGAAGGTAGAGGTGGATTAGCACAGAGTGTGAAGGAGCAGGGCTTGATCAAACGGGGACAGAGATACACAAACAACATAACTCAAGATTTCCTAGATTGTCCCTGCCTGTGAGTAAAGTTGGATCAGTACAACAGCGAGAGCAGAAAACTCTCCCTAACTCAAGCTCCATCTGTAGATCCACTGAAAATGTAACTTCAGAGATTCTTATGCCAGAGAAGTCAGGATTGCAGGTGCTGTGCACCCGGACAAGGTGTTCTTGTGAAACATTGGACAAGCCATGGATTGGGGCACCCCATGACAATCCCTGAGGTTCATGAAAAAGGGAAGTTCCTAGAAGCAGCATCTGACTAAAGTGCAAGATTGCTGATTAGAAATTAGTTCATCTTTTGGATTTAGGTCAGGTCAGGATTTCAAGTTTATGAGTTGAAGCTCCCTGTCAGGCTCTGTGCTGGCAGAGTGGAACCTGCTTGGGATTCTGTCTCCTTCTCTCTCTGAACTTCCTCCTCTCTCTCTCTCAAAATAAATACATAAACTTAAAATAAATATAAATAAGTTCATCAAACCAAAGGGAATTATGAATACAGGAATAAAGAGGGGTTTCAAGTTCACTGCTTTCAATGTTAGGGAAAGTTAGAGGCAGAGATACTTTAAGCCTATTGCTAAATACACTTCATTGTTATATAAAAACATTGCTATGTTTCTAACACATTTACACACTCCCCCAGCATATCTTCATCTAGATGAACACATGTCTTTGTAGACTTAGAGCTTGTAAACATTCCCTTAACAGAAATAATTAGATTGCCTGGTCTCCTGGGATAGTGGTACAAGCTCTAAGTTTGAAAGGGCATAGTAAAAACTCAGTTTTTCCAAATCTCTAAGGATGATTCTAGGGAATATACTAGTACCTATGTTTTCAATACAATACACTGGCCTTCAAACTTTGGAAATGTATGGGGCACCTAAGTGGCTCAGTCAGTTATACGTCCGACTTTGGTTCAGGTCATGATCTCCAGAGGTTTGAGTTTGAGCCCCACGTCGGGCTCTGTGCTGGTAGTTGGGAGTATGTTTGGGGTTCTGTCTCCCTCTCTCTCTCTCCTGTGAACTGGTTCCTATAGTGTGTGTGTGTGTGTGTGTGTGTGTGTGTATACATATACATACATATATATATAGTTCCTATATATGTGTATATATATACAAAATATATATATACATAAATACATACATATATATATAAAATCTGCTATTGATTATGTTTCCCTGAAGAGTCCTAATACACCTACCATGAGGATAATGGAATTTTAACAAAAAAAAGGAATGGATGACAGATTCATTTAGAAAATCTTTTAAAATACAGACTTTAGAATCAGTGATTTGATGGAGAGGTGGAAAGGATAGTCACTGAAAAGAAGGCTGAAGAGGATGTTTAAATTTTGATCCTAAGTGCCTGGAAAAAAATGTATTTCAAATACACTTTCTATCTGGTTATGGCAAAACTAATACAAATCACATGTAGACATCAATAGAGTGGGGTCTATTTCGCTTTCATTTCCCAAGTTATGTCTGACTTGTACAGTTTCTCCCCTCTCTTGTTATCTCTTAAAAAGCCTGTATTTTCAGGGTGCCTGGATGGCTCAGTTGGTTAAGCATCTGACTTTGGCTCAGGTCATGATATCACAGTTCCTGAGTTTGAGCCCCACATTGGACTCTCTGCTGTCGGCACAGAGCCCACTTCGGTTCCTCTGTCACCCTCTTTCTCTGCCCCCTCCCCAACTTGTTCTCTCTCTCTCTCCCTAAATAAATAAATACACTTTAAAAAAAAACTAGATTTAAAGTATCATTTTATGGATTTAATAAAGTATGTCCTTTCTAAGAACTTAGTCATTTCCAATATGCATCTAATCCTTGTGAGTAAGGTAACTATCTCCACTTTACAGATATGAAGAGTCTACAGTGGGAAGCAGCAATAATTGATGATATGATTTATATGGATAAAGACAAGTTTAGCAGTGACTTTTTAATTTCCAATTAAAGATTATCTCTTATGCATATTTATTTAGCATGTAGAATGAATAGTTTATTAATTTACTTCAAACTAGGGATTTGAAGGCCTCCCAAATTGTGTTATAGTTTTTTTCTTTTTTAGAAATCACTGCTTCTTTTCCAAGCTTTAAGTCAAGCTCTGAAGTCTTCAAGAAAATTACTATTGAATTGTTGTCTCCTGGGCTTTCTTTTCACCAAGGGCCATGGCCAAACCTCTGAAACAACCTCCATGGTAATGATTTTAAAGTAGGGACCCCTGGCTGAGACAACGTCTAGACACGGTTACCCAACCAGACTTGGCTATGTTAAGGATTTCAGCCATCTTGACAGTTGCCCTGATCGAATCGATTGTGTGATGATCTACTTTAGTTGGCAAAGCAATTTATATTCTCAGCGTATCCAGACAGTAGGATAACATCATTACTTTTAACAGTAGATTTTTTTTTTAGTGAGGTTTAAATTCCTTTAATAACACTAACCATTTTAAAGTGCACAACTCATCAGCACTCAGTGTATTAATGATGTTATGGAACTACCACTTCCATCAAATTGTAGAATATCTTCTTCACTTGAAAAAAAAAAGTTACCTATTCACTAGGCAGTCATTCTTCATTCCTCACTCCCACCTCCAGCCCCTGGCAGCCACCCGTCATCTGTCTCTAAGAATATACCTATTCTGGAAGTTTCATATAAATGAATCTATACAGTATGTGGTCTTTTGTGCCTGGTTTCTTTCACGTTCATGTACAAGGTTGTAAATCTTTATCTCCATTGTAACATGTGTCAATATTGCTTTCTTTATTCCAGATGAATAGCATTCATTGTCTAGACATTTTGTTTACCTATTTGTCATTGGATAGCTGAGTCATATCTACCTTTTGAGTAGTTTGAATAGAACTACTATGAACATTTGGGTACAAGTATTTGTTTGAGTATCTGTTTTCAATTCAGTGAAATGTTCCACAGGATTAAAACTAACATGGTGGGGAATTAAGAAAGAAGAAATAACTAGAAGGTTTGGGTTCAATATGCTTTCATATGCTCCTTATTTTACTTGTATTTTTATTTAACTTTTTCAACACTGCATTGTCAGAGTGTGGAGAGATCCCTGGCACATATCAGGTGTTCTGAAAATATTCTTGGAATAAATATTACATACTTCATTTTGCTCCCTGCTAATGCTGCTGCTAATATAATAGTCAATAAATATTTCCCAAATAATTACTTTAATTTAAAAGGACAAGAGGTGAGTACATCTAGAAAAAAAAATTCTAGGTTTTACTTAAAATATTCGTATTCTCTCTCTCTCTCTCTCTCTCTTTTCAGAGCCTGCACACGTTATTAGATCACCCACCACCTACTACTTGATGATTTGAAGGTTGTTTTCTTCAAAAGTCTTTGGTGTTACCTCCGAGGGAGCCTCTTAATACTAAGTCAAGAAGTGCCTTGACAAGCTTGAGAGAGAGAATTCCATATTTCCTGTTATTGTTAGTGATTCCCCCTGTTATGAGCCTGTTTTATATCTCTCTGTCAATTATATGTCATGTGTACTGAATTATACAAGCAGGATTTCACAGCAGCACATATAGCAATAGGAGAGTTACAACATGCTGCTCTTATTCTACAACTGATTTGTTATTTAAACTGAGCACCGTAGGCAAAAAAAAAAAAAAAATCATTTGTATTTTTCCTGTTAGTTTTATATTTTCTTTGTATTCTTACAGCACCAGAAGATTTCTCTGGAAAGGAAGGCTATTACTAATGAAGAAAAATAGCCATAATATTTAAGTTCTTACAAAAATACTTCATTTCACAGTTGTTTTGCAATAAATAAAATTTTTCATCATGGTTAAAACTGTGCTTGGTAATTCACTTGAGACATAGAAAAATAATTAATTCTTCTGTACCTTGGGTCTAAGGGTCTATTTGTCAATTTTTCACTTCTGGTTTGAATGTGAAGTTTAAAATTTAGAAGGGTATGGGACTGAATTTTATGATTTACTGATTCATGATTCAGGGAACAGGTGTTCATCAAGCTGAAATTTTAAGAAAAAAATTAAAGGTAAAATAAAGCTTTTCTTAGCACCTGTAGAAAAGCCAAGATTCGCATTTCAGATGATGGATTCTGTCTCAAAATACTTAGTTCATTTTTTGGAGGGTAAAAATAGAGAAAAGGAGGGGAGAGTGTTTTCGATCTGTCTTTTTCCAAGGTCCCACTGCTGCAGCTGGGATGGGGTAAACATTTTAACTATGGATGAATAATGATTTGCATATTTCAATGGCCTTGCCAAGTAGAATCCCCATAGACTTTGGTGATGAGTATTTAATTAGCAGAATGAATATGCTCAGATGGTAAGTCTTCTGGCCCAAGACCATTCCTGTTTTCTCTGCTTCCCATGGCAAGTTCAATGAGTGTTTTATGAAGAAACAATTTGTCTCAACACCACTAAGGACACAAAGCTACACTTCCATCTGTTCGCTTTTCTCTTCCACAGTGAGATGCACAGTGGCTGTGGGGCAGCTTTACCAATAGCTGCAGGTCCATCCAGGCCCTACACCAACCTCCCACTTGCACTTGAAGAACACTGTGGGCAGAGAGCATCTCACGCCCAACCTTTGGGTCCTGGAAGTTCGTTGGCCTCTTGATCTTCCTTACACCTTCCTGCTTTGGAGAAGAATGCTAATTTTCTTTTGTATCCCTCTGAACGGTGGCAGATACAGCTCACTGATCTTTCTAGAGCTGATAGAAAGGACAATTATTTCAGCTTTAAACAGGCTGCACATGTCCTCCGGCTCTGTTTCCCAGAGTATGAAATGCTCTATCACCTTTGCCATGTATTACTTGAAAACGTCTTTATCATTTATTGGAGGGCTAAGTTCATTATAATACTCTAGTAGTTCCAGGAAGGTATGTGGGGTTGTTATACTACCCTCCGCTGGAGGCTCCATGTGTCACCCATCCCTAATCACCTTAACCACTACTCTGTCCATTCTCAGTTCATCCAGGTCTTGATATTGTCTCTTGTCCATGCCCCTGTTGTTTCTCAACCAGTATCACTAAATTGAAGGCAGCTCACCTCAGGTATCTGGAATCATATTTGGAAGGTGCCTCTGCAGGGCTATCCAGGCCAGCTTGGGATTGTCACAGACCCTGCCCCATGTTCTGTTTAGAATATTCACTCTTTTCTAGCTTCCCCAGCTTCCATCTTGGTTTTAGGTGTGGCTCTTTCTATGAGTTTTTCTTGTCCGGTTGTTTGGATGGTCAGCCCTGCTTATTTGACATGTTTCCCAATTGTTCCCTATTATTCCAACCCATTCTCTGGAGCTTCCCATTTCGAAAGTGTTTCCCAGGCTTCAGCCCTATGTGAGGATCAAAGCAGCCCTCTTTGGGGTGCCTGGGTAGCTTAGTCAGTTGAGCATCCAACTTCGGCTCAGGTCATGATCTCACAGTCCGTGGGTTCAAGCCCCGCGTCGGGCTCTGTGCTGGCAGCTCAGAGCCTGGAGCCTGCTTCAAATTCTGTCTCTCTCTCTGCTCCTACCTTGCTGGCTGTCTGTCTCTCAAGATAAAGTTATTTAAAAAATTTTTAAAAACAAAACGAAACAAACGAACAAAAGTAGCCCCCTTTGCTTGGTTCTTGGTGCTGCAGAATCCCATCCAAGAACATGGGCCATTTCCAGTGCAACTGCCTCCCTTCTTTTTAATTTTCTCTCCCTCACTCTGTTACCTGCTTTTTATCTCCATCTATCCCTCAGATGTATATTGAGAAATTGCTAAGTGCCAAGTACTCTAATAAGCACTGGATAAATAAAAGGAAACAAACAAATAAGTGAAAGCACGATTCCTATCATTGTGAGTGTCCTGAGGAAGACATTTGACAAACAGTTAGGCCACAAATGCAACACCAGTATGTGGAAAGCATTCCAGGTGCTAGGCATCATTCTTGTGGCAAAAGAAGGTTAAGGAGAGTATAGAAGAGTTCTAGCCCACTCTGTTATTGAATTGTCCCCTAATGGGGAGAATAGAGACAATGTATGATGGCTTCCAGCAAGTGTGTAGAAAATTAAGTGTGGCTACAACAAGTCCTGTATAAGATCTTAATATATTGGGCTAGATGAGAAATATATCCTGAACATGCTAATATTTAAGCTTAGCATGGAAGAATAACTTGAATTTCATTCGCTGAAGAGATAGGAGAATATTCCAGACCTGTGATTTCATATAAGTAGGCAATAGGTTGTAAGATCAACTTATTTTTTAAGGTATTTTAAATTTAATAACTCATTTGAAAAAAAGCAGATTATCCAATTGAATGGAATAAAGGCACAATTTTTTAAAATGTTATGGATCAAAAGTTATTCATTCTCAAACTGATCACACACAAAATGCAAGTAACTGAAGGATGGCAGGGACACTTTGAGAAAATGAACACGATTTCTCAGAATTAAGAGAATTGAGTTGATGAGGTTTTCATAAGAAGAACATGGGAAGGTTTTATTGGCCAGAGAAGATATACCTCTGCTACATAAATGCTAAGTGATCAACTCTTTGACAGCAAACTTAAGGAGAAAATATTCTCATGTCTAGTTTACAGATGAGAAAAGAAAGCAAAAGACGGTAATTCATTTGCTGAAGGTCATAAAACTAGTCTAGGGCAGAAGTTAAATTAGAACAAGCTCCTTTACACAGCGGTTCAATTATTTTTAAACATAACCAATTGTTTGGAACTTTCTTTAGGTTTCTTCTTATAGACTAAGGTGCCTCTCTACTTCACTCACACTTACTGTTGTGTGCTTGTGTTATCTCCTTCTGTGTTAATTTCCTCAATAGTTTTGTATTCTATTGTATCCCTCTGCCTCCACATGACCACATCTGACTTTTCCTTTTCACTTTATAAATCAGTCCTCACAACAGTAGTGTGAAGTGGGAAAGTAGTTATTATCACAGAGAGGAAGGAAGAGATGCTTGAAAATATTAAATAACTTTTCCAAGGTCATCAGGCTTCTAAGGAACAGAAGAGGAAAAAATAGGTTAAATATTCATCCTGCAAAATTCGGGATTCTTTCAGAGCTTCATTCATAGCACTAAGCCATGACTATGTCTCGAAACCATTGGATAAATTTATGTTTAGACCAGCTTTAAATTTACAGAAAAAATGGGGCTCCTGGATGCCTCAGTTGGTTGAGCGACTGATTTTAGCTCATATCAAAATCTCAGTTTGTGGGTTCAAGCCCCATTGGGCTCTTGTGCTGACAGCTCAGAGCCTGGAGCTTGCTCT